TGTTTTGCCCCATTTCCCATTGGTGAGCTTGTGGAGAAGACATATGCTTCTTGTGCAATTTCTTCGGAGTGACATAAGTCCATCCTTCAACTTCACTCGGCTTGACTGGCATGTTTTTAGAGCATGCCCCCAGCGATTGAGGTGAAAATTTTGAGTTGACAGAGCCGAAAGTGATGTCTTCTTCCAGGATTTCGTCTTCTTTGTCTTCTTGGGCCCTCTCTTCAGTGCGGTCCTCTTGGGTTTGTTGCCGTGAAGATTGGCCGGTGTAGATGATGGTGCGCCTTCTTACCTTCAATGGTCCTTTTGTGTCGACTTCCAAAGTTGCTTGGCGCCTCATCCTTGAAGGAATCAAGCTTTGAACATCGTCTTTTCCTGCTAGACTATAGAGCTTCTCTCCCTTTGGCGTTGTCTTTCTGTTTCTAGAAAGCTTCTTAGTTTCTTCGAGTCTGTCCAAAGCCGACCGTTGCGGAGGAGATCTAGCTGTGCCGCTTTGTTTCTTAGGTTTTGATAACCTTTCAAAGACTGATCTTTGCGGTATTGGCGTCTCAAGCCTTTTGAAGACGGAAGTTTGGTCTCGACCACTGAGGCGATCAAGTGCTGCAATTCTAGGTTTTGAATAATTCAGCCTTTCGAAGACTGAAGTTCGAGGGGCGGGTTTAGGCTCCTCTTTTGGCCTTGTGGCTTGTGGTCTTGGCTTCCTCGTTTTTTTGTAGGTTACCGATGTCCACCCTTTCTTATCACCAGTAGATGCATCTTGGTTGCTTGCCCCCGGTGATGGTTGTGTAGGAGGTGCCATGTGACTTGAACATTGACGGGAATGGTCATGCATGCTTCGGAGATGCACAGGATCGAGTGATTCAAACACGATAGTAGTAGTGTGTGCCGCAGCCGTGTCTTCGAGGTCAAGCTCGATTTCCCCTTGTTGTGATAGCTTCAGGATGAGATCTTTCAGTACGAAGCACTTTTCCGTTGAATGACTGATGAAGCGGTGAAATTTACAGTATCTTGGGTTGTCGGTATGATTCATCTCTTCCGGCCGTCTGCACTCAGGCAAACTGATCACCTTCTTGTCCAACAGGTCATCCAGCATGGCAACTACATCAGAGTCGGGGAATGGATAAATCTTCTCTTCAAGCTCCTTCAAAGTGCGTCTACGCATCTTTTGATCACGAAAAGCTTCGGTTTGAATCGCCTTACCTCGTGTGGAGATTTTGACGGGAGCTGTGTTGACCGGCATCGCTTCCTTGGTGGGTTTCCATGCAGCCTTTTCCACCTTTGTCCCAAGAACTTTGTCGTTCTTGTAGTCGACGATTGGTTCTTTCTTCCCATGATGGGCGATGCTCAGTTCCATGTCATGGGCGCGAGTGGCCAATTCCTCGAAGGTCCGTGGTTTAATGCCTTGAAGGATGTATTGCAAACCCCATTGCATGCCTTGGATGCACATCTCAATTGAAGAGGTTTCCGAGAGCCTGTCTTTACAGTCGAGGCTTAGAGTGCGCCATCTATTGATGTAGTCAATGACTGGCTCGTCTTTCCACTGCTTTGTGCTCGTTAGCTCTAGCATGCTCACAGTGCGGCGGGTGCTGTAGAAGCGATTGAGGAATTCCCGCTCCAATTGCTCCCAACTGTTGATGGACTCAGGCTCCAGATCCGTGTACCACTCAAAGACGTTTCCTTTCAGCGAGCGCACAAACTGCTTGGCGAGGTAGTCTCCCTCCGTCCCCGCGTTGTTGCAAGTTTCGACGAAATGTGCAACGTGCTGCTTTGTGTTTCCTTTTCCATCAAATTGCATGAACTTTGGTGGTTGATAACCCCTTGGCATCCTTAGGGCATCAATCTTCTTGGAATAGGGCTTCGAGTAGAACAATGAGGTATGTGAGCTCCCTTCGTACTGTGCCTTGATGGTGTTGGTGATCATCTCCTGCAGTTGCTGGATAGAAAGAGATCCCATGAGTGCCGCTGCTTGGTCTGGCTCCGGCTTCACATCGTTTTTCTCCACCTGAGGCTCATCTTCTTCGTCGTCTCTTCTCTTTAGTGGATCATTCTCTGGGTTGGGGTTCTCGCCGTCCTGTGGCTCCAGTCGGCAATTTGCAAGTCTTTTTCTTCCACAATCTGTGTTAGCCTTGCAATCGCTTCATTCATTTGAGCCAGTTGTTCTTCAACGGAGGTAACGCCGATAGTCATGACTTGTGCGACCAATAGACGTGACTTTCCTTTAGACATCCAGGATGCTGACGAAGAACGTCGTTGGCTGCTTTGGGACGTCATCGTGTGTGCCCCAACATCATGCTTCGGTGCCCCCAGTGAGGTCAGGTTGATGACATACTCACACCTTGGATGCTCCCCTTGCTCTTTTAGCGGCACCAATTTTGAAGTGGCATGTTGAGGAGCGGTTGTGGCGCCAATGGATTGTCCGTTTGCGGCAGAAGTGCTTAGGATCTTTCCCTCAGTGGTTGCAAGAATGGCTTGTCCCTTGCTTGATGCCATTGATTTTGAGGTGTGCTTGGATTCCTTGAACGGAGAAAGAGATGAGAGGCAGAGATTGTCCCACTGGGCGTGCCAATTTGTGAACACGGAAAATTCCCGAAACGAAAGAGACAAGAACAACGTGCACAAACAAATATTTGTATTTGATGATTTTGGGTTACAATCTCTCTTAAATTTGATCCTCTGATTCAATCTCCGTAAGGTGTGTATTTGTGGATATGTGATTGATCCAAAGGGCCGTTGGGCTTGATCTAAGGATGAACGTTCTTCAAGGGTCGTGGACTTGATCTTGAAGGTGGATTTGAGCGGATCTTCAAAGGGGCTTTTGGGCTTGATCTTTGAAGAACAGTGATGAATGGATCTCCAAGGGGTTTTGGGCTTGATCTTGAAGAACAATGATGAACGGATCTTCAAGGGCTTTTGGGCTTGATCTTGAAGAACGGTTGGATGTGTGGATTTGTCGACGTTTGTTGATCCAAAGGGCCGTTGGGGCTTGGTCTTGGATGAACAGTGACGAACGGATCTCCAAGGGCTTTTGGGCTTGATCTTGAAGAACGGTTGGATGTGTGGATTTGTCGACGTTTGTTGATCCAAAGGGCCGTTGGAGCTTGATCTTGGATGAACGGATGATGAACGATGGTGCTTTCTTCAAGGGCCGTCAGGGCTTGATCTTGAATTGGTGGATGGTTGATCCAAGGGCCGTCGAGGCTTGATCTTGGATGAACGATGAACGAAGAACGAAGAACACTTTCTTCAAGGGCCGTCGGGGCTTGATCTTGAATTGGTGGATGATTGTTGATCCAAAGGGCCGTTGGGGCTTGATCTTAGGATGAACGATGAACGAAGAACGCTTTCTTGATTCTTCGGGAATCTGGATGCTTGAGAGCTTCAGAGTTTCAGAGCTTCAGAGCTTCAAGAGTTTTGCCTAATGATTTTGGTTCCCATAAATGAATGAATTAGCCTTCTATTTATAGAAATTTCCAAGGCCTAATTTTGAATATAATATCCCAGATGAAATAAGTCGTTTCTGCCAGGTGTTGACATGTGTCCTGTTTGATGACTTTTCCAACTATTTCGATTTTTTGTTTAGACACACGCTACGTGTAAAATTTATGTAATACATGAGCGTTGAAACTTTGATTTATCGGTCAACATTTATTTACTGAAATTTCGATGTCTACAGTTTCGGTTTAGGTCTCTAAACTACCAATGATTTGTTTCGGTTTAGGTCTCTAAACTACCAAGTTAAATATCATCACTTTTTTTTTTATGAATTTTTAATCTAGAAAATTAAACACAAAGCATAACATTTTTTTCTAATCAATAACACACACAAAATAGTCGTTGTTTGTATATGTTTTGTTAATCAAACAATCGGCTGAAAATAACTTTTAAAATCCTAAACAGTTGAAAAATAAACCCTTAAAATCATGTTATGGAATTAAAAATGGGGCTCACTCATTAAATAAATAAAAAATAAATAAAAAAAACCAAGACTGGACCCTCAATTTGGTGTGGGTTTGATATTTTTTTGGACTAGATGAAGCCTAATTTTTTCTACCCAAAAATTGAAGTTGCTAGCCCATGTGATGGATGTAGCTCAATTTTCTTGCTTATTCTAGATAAAAAATTTCATTGAAGCTACAAATATGGTAGGCCCAAAGAGAACAAGGCTCCCATTAGGAATGCTCTAACAACTAACAAAGTACAAGCTATTAGCTATAAACTTGTTTGATAAGGACTGACCTCTGTGCACACATAAATGTGGTGGTCAGTGAATTTAATCACCACACATCAATTTTGTATATGCTGTCTAAATCCGTTAAACTATTTTGTTAGTTTGATGACGTGACACACATAAAACCTATTCATATAATAGTTTTCCAAAAATGGTGGGGCTTAGCGGGCTTACTTTTTCCCAAACTGATATTGCAAAAACAAGCTTGAATTGAAAAAAGTGGTGAAGTTTGAGTGGGTCGGTGATTTTGAACAAAAATAGTGGAAGCCGCAGATTTAGGAACGTTGTCTTATAAGTTTAGAATTTAATGGAAATGGAGGAGAAAAATCGTGCAAAAAATAGTGTAGGGATCTCATATTTTTGGAGGCCGAGAGCAGTTGAGGGAGAGGAAGAAATGGGGCTGGGGGAAAAGTTGATGGCAATAACTCAGTTGGAGCATCTCATAAAAGATGACAAATATAATATGTTAAAATTTTATTATGTGTTTTTGTCTCTCAATAAAATATACTATGTCAAAATTTTATTTGGAATATAAACGTTTTTGTCTATCATTAAAATGTTTAAAACTAGTAGAATTCCATGAAATATATTGTATGTTTTTGTCTCTATATACAAGGCTCCTAAAGAGAGAGAAATTTGATCAAATTAGATATGTAGTGGGCCAGGCCTAATGAGTATTAAGATGTTTAGTGGGCTCAATGTGTAAAACATGTGTGCTGGGTGGGCCTAATAAGTAGACGATTTCATTCCTGCAAATTTCAAATTTCAAAGGCACATTGAGAGTCGACCGTTGAGAGAGAGAGAGAGAGAGAGTTAAGTAAACAAGAAGAGGATTGGACTGGATCTGCTCAGAATTTACAAGGAAAGACAAAAGACACAAATTAGTCAGCAGTACTGGTTCTGTGTTTGGAGAAGGAGCAACCGGCAAGACGATTAGCAACTAGTCTAGCCTAGTGTGGTTGGAAATGAACAGGAGACGCCATGGCTGGCAACGCCCTTTCCATCCTCTCCAGGTAACTCCGACTCGCTTGGTTTCATTTCATATTTTGGTTTCATTTGGTAACTTTGCGAAACCAAACGTAAATGTGGGAGTTGCAGATTGTTGGAATTGCAGTTTACAGTTTTCTTGTGGTGGTCTTCTACACATTCCTCGGACTTTTCCTCGGAAATAGAACCGCCGAAATCACGGTTACCACCGTCTTTTCCTTTGTGGTACTCTACTCTACTCTTCTCTATCAATCGATATCAGCATGACATCTCATATCTGAGTGAATTCATTTTAATCTTGAAATTTGAAATATGAATTTCAGGCTGTATCGGTCATGTTTCTCTTCATAAGGTGCACAGCCACTGACCCATCTGACAGAACCAGCCTTAAGAAGAAGAACAAGAAGAAACCTAAAGGTGGCAAAGGACTTCCGAAGCTCAACTACGGCTTCCTTCTCGGCCAGATTGTAGTCACCTTCTTTAGGAGGGTGGAGAGGAAGATCCTCAGGACTTTTATAAGGAGGAGGTATCTCGATCCATGGATGACCGCCGCTCAGTTGGATCCCTTGCTCCCGTTTCCCTTTGTCCTCATGAAGGAAGACGCTGTCTCTCCTGATTTCAGGGAAGACGACATCTCTTTCTGCGCACTCTGCGACTTTGAGGTAAACAACGGATTAATCCCTAACCCCTAATCCTATTCCGAGCTTAGATATCTCACTCTCATCACATAATTTGTATTTACACAAGTAATTGTAATTCTGTTTGCAGGTGAAAAAACACAGTAAGCACTGCAGGACCTGCAACCGTTGCGTTGATGGATTCGACCACCACTGCAGGGTGAGAAATGTTGAATCTTGTCCTTGTTTTTCTCGTTCAATTTGAAAGAACAAATAGCAAGTATTTTATTTAAGATATGTTATTTCAGTTTGAAACTGAATTGTTTCTATCTTCCAGTGGTTAAACAACTGCATCGGGAAAAAGAACTACACCACATTCATTCTCCTTATGATTTTCGTTTTGTTATTGGTAAGTTACAAGTTGAGATTTTAGTGACTTTGCTACACCTGTTTTCTGTCCCATGGTAACAAACTTACTGCTTCCGGTGACACAGCTAATCATAGAAGGATCAACTGCAATTGCCATATTCGTCAGGTGCTTCTCAGATAAAAATGGAATAGAACAGGAACTGAAGAGGAAGCTCTACGTGGAATTCCCAAGAAGCGTTCTTGCTACAATATCGGTAATTAATCTTGTCTCAAATCTCCATCACAATCATCACTCAGTTACTTGTTCCAACTCCATGCAAATCTTGCAGGTTTTGCTGACTTTAATGATAGCTTATGGTTCAGCAGCAATGGGACAGCTTTTTTTCTTTCATGTGGTTCTCATACGGAAGGTACTTGTCAATTCTCAATTTCTCATATGCTATTGACCCAACATTCCTCATTATTTGCCAAATTCCAGTCTCACAGTAACAGTATATCTAATGCTCTATCTCACTGAAACTTTTGGCACAACAAATTCCTGCTGCAGGGAATGAGAACATATGACTATATCCTGGCAATGAAAGAGGAGAGCCAATCCATAGAAATGGATCCATTCGATGTCGATTCAGATTTCTCCTCGGATGTGAGTAGCGATTTTGATTCACCTGAAAAAGCCTCATTCATATCGCGGTTTATATGCAGAGGAAGCGGTGCAACTCAGGTAAAGTCTATATCTTATACGGCATACATACAGCCTTCCCTAGTTTTGCATCTTCAGATTTCAGAAGGCATACAAGTCTATTTGCCACATGACTTATGGAATAAATTGCCATTTAAAGTTACAGAACAACCGAAGGTTGTCCATAAGAATTGATAGCGATCCTCAGCCCTTTACCTCAACTAAGAAACAAGGCTTCCGTGTCAGCATTGACCCCTGGAGACTGATCAAGTTGAGCAAAGAGAAAGCATTGATAGCAGCAGAGAAAGCCAGAGAACGGATTGTGAAACAGAAGCCGCCTACAGAAGAGGATTCATTGAAACCCCTACCGTTAGAGACCAAACGTGGACCACTGATGACGAGCACAGATAAAAGCACGGCTACTGCTATAGGATCAGGCTTAACACCTCTTATATCCAAAGGGTGGATGCCTGGGTCACCCGGCAGAAAGTTTTCAAGCCCAAGAAGGCGGTTTTCTGGCTCGCCAACAACGTCATCTGGCATTGCGCCGTCACCAAAACAAAAATACCGAAACAATTTTGACTTGAAATTGACGGAGGTGTCGAGGGAGCTGGAGACCTACATATCAAGGCAGGTTTTGTGTTCTGTTATAAAGAAGGATGGGAATGAGGCATCTCCGAGATAGGGAGGATTGTGCTTAGTAGAAAATTGATTCTCAACCTTTGAGAAAGGTTCATTTACCACCTGTGTGTGTACTCTTGATATCTTATGCGGTTTTTTTGGAGACTAATGTATATGCACTCTTAAAATTATTATACCACCCATTGGATGTAATTCTTTTAAACTTTACTCGCCATTCAATGTACTTTTACTTTCATCGAAATGAACTTCACTAAAATTTGGGTCGTAAAACTCATCTGGGCGCTCCTCATACTGACTGGTGAACCTTATAGCTATTCCTATACCATCCAAGGTCATGTTTGAATTTTGATACATATATATTTCTCACATAACCACCCTTTCCTGGGGAGGTCTTTATTCTAATACCTGTTTTGGAACCGAAAAAGTGGAGGTCTTCTGCATGAACTTCTGACACAACTCCCGACATCTCACTTCCAATTGCAATTCCTGCGCTTGTTTCAGTTTTACCAGTAATTCTTAGAAGGATGATGTTTCTACTGGGACGACCATATAAAGTGCCATACTCATCCCACCCACTTTTGATGAAAACCAGTTCATCACCAGTACTAATATGACAGTCTTCAATGCAGAGATTATCTGAAGAGTCTGGATGCAATAAAATGGATGGGTAAGAAAAAATTTGTGTGCTCATAGTTCAACCTGCTGAATGAAGGGGGTAGAACGTAGTTTAAAGTTGATGCAGCTGGTAAAAAATGAAAGTGAATCATGTGCTTATTTGAGCTCAGCAATTTTCAAGGGGAGAGTGACGGTCCACAACAACGACGGTGGATAATCAGGCGCATTTGTGTGGTAAAGGATTAACATTTGATCCGCACATGCAGCAAAACTATGATGTTTCCCTTATTTTTGTTCTATAGTGAGAAGTTAAGCTGAGCACCCCACGGGCTTTTTACAAACTACCCTAAGTGCAGTTGGTTTTGACATATTTGTATGACAAGACAACCATGAGTGATTGGTGTTTGTAATTATTTATATTTGTATAATCATCTTTAAAGGAGATTTTGGTGATTCACCTGGATCAATGCCGTCGTGTTTCGAGACCTTAGAGGAGAAAGGGTTGTCCGATTATGGATAGTAACATGGCTGTTCAGTCCCACCATAATTCATAAAATCTTACCACTTTCCATAGTGTTCAAATAATACTCAATGCACTTCAGTTGACTAAGCAAGGACAAAAGGTGATAGCCAATCCTTGTGGATGAATCATAAAACTAACCTGCAATATGCAGGTGAAGGGTCCAAAATGGTGAACTTAGGAAGGTCAGGTTTGAAATGACAACCCCAGTCGAGTTTATCAACTCCAACAAATGGGGCCTTGTATAATTCAAGGTTTTATTACGGAACCAATCCCACCAGATGCTACCTTGGTCACCACTGGTGCTATTATCACCTGCATGATGAAAGCAGCAACATCTACAAATCAAACAAAGTATATATATATAACAGAGCCGATTCCGCATCAAATATTACCAACCAGTTATGATAATGTCCGTCAAATTGCATCCCTAGATGAGACTTTGATGTCTTCCTCCTGTCAACTCCCTTCCTCGACCGTAGGCTGGTAATGGTTCAACAATTGGGCAATCATCGGAGTTCTGGAACATTACAGAAGAAGTTACTCAGTATTATGAGCTAAAATATTATAAATGTGTCCACAAGGTCAAAACAGATAGCATAGCACTGCCCTATTGAACTTGGAGTTCAACTCTTATCTGGACTGGAGATTGAACATAATTTATACTTTTGGAACTAGCACCAATAATCACCGCAATAATTAAGCTATCCTGAATGCACAATAAACTTGGCAATTTCTCACAAACAACATTTCAGAATTCTGGCAATAAGCTTAGTATTGACACTAGTGACCTATAGGATTGTGAATGGCTTTTATGTTTAGGGTGGCCCCATCTCCTACAGCGCCAAATTCAGCGATGGCGACACTGTGAGGTCGAATTGCTCCTGAGTTGGTCTGATTGCTGCAGTGTGGGCTGCCCTTGACAGACCAGGGAGCAGCACCGCCGAGCAATCCAAGTAGCAGAAGCACATTCACCACCTGAACAAACGTGCACAGGACGTTGGTCCTTGGATACCATACCACACCATGATTGTAGCTGCTGATTTTTCTTTTGTTCTCCATTTAATTTGTCAATGTTTATTGACAACAACGAATACCTATTATTTACAAACCCAAAAACATGACTCCCCCTTCCCTTCCTTCCCTTTTCTTTCCCACTTAGCCTTTCTCACTCTTTCTTCCTCCAAATTTCAAATTTCATGTCACTCCTCCCTTTTTCCTATCTACTTAATTGCATTAGTTTTGGGTTTCTCCCTTTCTTCTAAGATCCTTTGACCCTCAAAAAGTTGCCAACCAACCGATATCATATGTTCCATTCATTTATTTTTTCCAACCCTCTCCTAAGTCATAACAAATATTAAATTGTAACAAAATGTATAAATAAATCAGACTTGATGCACAATTTTTCATTTGTTTCGTTCCGTTCCGTGCACTTGAAAATATCATTCCACACTCTTGTTCGAGTCATAAAGTTAATATCATTCCAAAGCTTGGCGCTTCTACTGGGGCACTGAGCCTCTCTTCCTCACTACCGTTTTGCTAAAATTCTTAACCAAACTGGTAGAGGTTTTTCATGAAGCAGTGGGTGTGCATAAACATGCCACCCATAAACAAAAACATCCATGCTTCCAAGTCTGCCTTTTTCCAAGAGTACGTGCGTCCTTTCTCCTTTGGGTATTTGATACTTTCTGAGTTCTAATTAATTGTCTTTGTCGACAAATACATTGTGTTACGAAGTTGCTTAATCTCTGTTAAACATGTAGTTTCTATGAAGGGGAACGTCTTAATCGTCTTCTCCAACAAATTGGGAGGTCAATAGATTTTAACTTGAGCGAGACTTATTATCCAACAACAACAACAGTATTAGTCTAATGCTTTTTATTTTATTACACAGAAAAATAGAGTCAGAAAGACTTGTGGATGGCAAGTCCTTACCAGAAAAGATGTGGTTCAAGGTTTGTGCATTTGGATCCAATTCATCATGTATTTTGTTTGATAACATGTTTGTTTTTTAATCCAACGGGAAAGAGGATTCGAAGTTGGGACCTCTTCAGACACACTGCAACAAGTGTGATGAATAACTGTATTGTGTTTGTAGCAACAATTTGCAATAGGGGTGAATGACGTGGCGCGCGTGCTTGAACGCATGGCATCAACAGCAAGAGCAAGCAGCTTAGCAGGTAAAGCAGCAGCAGCATGCGAAAGCTTCAGGCTGTTGTGATCGCATCCGATTGCAACCCACGATGGCTGTCAAAGCATCTGCCAAGCTTGGCTCTTTCAGGGAAGGTCCCAGTCATCTTTCTCAAAGATAACGAGGGAGCTTTTTTAAGATTGGGCCAACTTCTCAAACTCAAAACAGCCATTGCCATTGGTGTTAAGGTAACTAGCTACTGAAAAGCATTGAGTGCTCCAACTTTAGCCATTTCCCTTGAGTCGTTTGCTCTTCTGTTTTGCAGGCTAAAGGAAATGCCATCAATCTACTTTTTGAGGAGATTCTTAGTGGCAATATAATGCAACTCGGTGTCGGAACTGAAGGCCTCAACTCTTCAGTCTCAACTCTTCTCAAATGCTTACCACAACACAAGGAGAAGTTCAGAGATGAGCCTCCTATGCATGTAGATGTTGAAGACAACAGTTGTAGGTGCTGTTTCTGTTTCAGTTTCAGAGATTGTTTGTATGTACTATGTCTGCCTGACCATGCAGCTAGCTTCTTATGATCAAGCCAATGAATGGAACAGAGATACAGTAATCTTGCAATTTCTATCATTATGATCATCGTAGTGTTACAACAAATTTCCCATTCTTTCGGTCCTATTTTCTGTAATGCGGTAGATTGAACACCCTCCTCCGCCTTTTCCTATTCTTAAGAAACACGTTTGGAGATTTAACACCTCTTCGTCCAAAATTTTACATTACAACCAATTGTACAGTAATATATACCAATCAATACAATGGAATGAAGCTTCCATTTTCTCGGCATCTTCCTTTTCATCTTCTGCAGGGATAACCGTGTAGGTCCATGTAGATGTTAAGCACTAGATTGGGGGGTCGCAGCTGCTGAAGGATCGACAGAGCTCAACGGATCAGGGTTATTATTACTCCTCCTACCATTTGTGACAACTGAATTGTTATTCTCTCTTTGGTCTCCATCCTTCTTTACCATCACCGGTTGAAACTGCCATATAATAAAATACAAATACAAAATTAGAATTGGAAAGCTTGATATATTTGACCAACATGTTTCTGATGAAAAAGTTTTTAACTTTTAATTTGATACACACCTGGTATATGGAATATATAACATTTCTTCTTATCTGTGCCATCATCTCTAAGAAAAGATTATAGCCTTCAAGCTTGTATTCAATAAGTGGATCCCGTTGTGCGTATCCACGTAAACCAACAGCCTGTTGAACAAACTTAAGTGCTTGTAAGTGCTCCTTCCACAGGCGATCAATATTGCTTAAAACTAGGAACCTTTCAGCATCCTTCATCAAGCCTGGTGCTTTGCTCTCAATAATATCCTGATACACGTAGTTCAACAACATTGATAATCAGAATTATACGCCTTCCAGAAAATTGATAGCAAGCCTAGTTTGCAAACCCAAGTTATTCATAACAAAAGATCACTTGCAAGACTTGGTCTGTCAATATACAGATTTAACTCTATATTCAGAAAAGGTCACAGCAGTAGCATTTGTCAGTAGTAAGTTGTGATTACCTTAGCGAGTATTACACAAAGAACATGCACAAATATTTGTCTGAGTATTCATTCATGGTTGCCACATTTTAGCAGAATTTGTAATCAAAATAAGCAGAAGCTTGCCCTTCTAATTATAACTAAGCATCCCTTTAAATCGGCGAGATCTTAATATTCTCAATAATCATGAAATTTTTCTTACGAAAACTTCTTATACTCACCCTTTTCTGCAAATATGCTTCACGACCACGAAGACGAAGGTACTCCTGCAAATCCTCATAACTTGAACAATTGCTCCTCAGCAAGTCCGGTGTCAAATCATTCAATAGGTAGCAATATCTAGAGCCAAGGAAATATTGCCATTAAAAGTCTTAAGTGCCAAAATCAAACAACTAGATCACACCATAGA